GTTCAGAATTTTTAGGTCTTCTTCGTTCAACTTTGGTAATTCATATGTACCTAGGAATCTGTCCATTTCTTCTGTGTTGTCCATCTTATTGGTGTATAGGTTCTGGAAGTAGGTATTGATGATCCTCTGGATTTCTGCTGGGTCTGTTGTAATTTCACCCCTATGAAAACTAATCTTCAATGTGATAGTATTCGGAGAGGAAAAGATGGGGCCATGAGGGACAGGTTTGTGAGGTCAGAGCCTCTCGGGGTCCCTGAGCATTAGAGTTCTGAGCTGGGGTTAACAATTTGGGTACCAACATTACATTTCTGTGTTCAAGTCCTGCTTGCCTTGACCATGAGCGTATTATTTATCTCTGTATATCCTATTTTTCTCCTTTTAAAACTATGATCATGGAGTAATCATATCACAAGTTCATAATGAAGGTTCCAGAAAATAACTCTTGTGAATTGGCTTGCATGAATCATTGAATACCTGCTCGCTATTTCCACAGCCCCCCTTCTTTTTGTACTGGAAATTGAACCTAGGGCCTTTAAACTGAGCTACTTCCCCTACCTTTTAAAAAACTATTATTATCATTATTTTATTTTGAGACAAGGTCTAAGTCTCTAAATTGCCCAGGCTGGCGCTCTAACTTGCAGTTCTCCTGTCTCAGCTTGTACTGGGATTGCAGGCATAAACCACCATACTTGGTTCTGCTCTCTGCCCTTATTCCAAATACTAGTCTTGTGACATTCAGCTAGGTGAAAACACCAGTCTGTGCTTTCTGCTCTTTCCTTGCAGAGAAGACTCTAAAATTCCAACCTCATGATCAGAAGAATCTCTAAAACGTCCTGGAGCGGTGGGCAGGGGGTAGGATTGTCCACTGGTTGCCTAGAGCTGGTAGTTCTCTGAAGAGCTAGTCTAGTGACTGAGCATGGTGTGCCTGTGCAGGTCTACAGCTCCTTGCCAAGTGTAATTCGAACTGAGCTCCCAGTGGGCTAGGATTGGCATCCTGGAGCAAGTGGGTGGGCCTAAATTACTGTCAGTCCAGGGCCAATGCCCGAGGTCATTACAGAGGGAGCACGGATGCACCAGCCCTTTCTTCTCTGCTATTGGTAGTGCAAGTCAAACTTCCCCTCCTACAGGATTAGAGGAATGGGAAGAAAGAATGGAACTGTACTTGGTGCTATGGTGAGTTTTTCATTGTTTCTTGTGCATCTTTTCTGTGTGTCAGGGGCCCAAGCTGGGACCTAAACTTCTCTGCTGGACCGGGTCCTCTCTCCCAGGGTGCGCTCCAGACTGTCCCCTGCAACATGCCCTAGGCTCAGTGGCTGGTTAGTGAGAGGTCAAAGGCAGAAAAAGAGAGGAGGGGGAGTGAGGACCGGTCGGCAGTGGAAACAGCAGATTGTGCCGGGCCAATGGCAGCAGCAGAAAGAAGTGGCACCAAATTCCCGCTGACCAATGGCGACGCAGAATTGAGGAAGCCTAATTAGCATTTCCCTCGGGGCTAGGGGTGGGGGAGCGCGGTGTAGGCGACTACAGTATTCCAGCCCACGAGTTGTGTATTAAAAAGCGTTAGATCACCTCTTTCCCGCACTCGTTTCCACGCTCGACTGCCTCCGCCAGTCTGAGATTTTTGTCCCTCGTTCTTAATAGAACGGACCTAAGAAAATACAGGTTACAATCACGTCACTGCCAGCGGTAGCCTTAAAAACCTAGCCGTGGGACATCCACGGACGGCAGTTTCGGTTCCGGACTTTCTTCGTGTGTGGAAGGCGCAAGAAGTGTTCAGAACCGCGGCGCACGGGACCTTCGCGCACAAGAGAGCTCTAGAAACGAAGTCTGTCCACCCTCGGCGCCTGTAGCCTGAATCCGCTCAGTGGTCTCAGCCCAGGGAATTGAATCTCCGCCTCTGATAGCCCAGATGCCTGCTCACATGCTGCAGGAGGTGAGTTTCCTGGGAACGGCCTGCGTCCAGCGTTAGCGAGCACTGATTGGCTTCTACTTGACTGCTGGGGAGAGAGAGTTCAGAGCTCTGGGAGGATTTGGTCCTGTTTCTCGAGTTGCTCTGTTTTCAGTTGGCTGCTCTGCTTTCATTTAGTACTAGATTATTAACAGGATATTTGATTTCTCAAGTTTTGTTCCTTAGATGTTCTTAAATGTAAAGAAAAATGCAGTCGTGCCAGCACCTATATGTATACACGCGAGGTTTCTTTTATGTGTTGCTGGGGTGCCGGTGTTTTCACTTTCCCTTCTGCCCCTTCACTCTGTGTTGCACTCCCAATCTGCACAGTTTTGGGGAAACTTCCCTCAGTTTCACTTTGGGGTACACTTCACCCTCACATGACCTGGGTGCCCTTTCCCCCAGCTACAGTTCTGAGCAAAGGCTCTGTGTCCCTCCTCCTTCCTCTCCTTCCAGATCTCCAGCTCCTACACGACCACCACCACCATCACAGCGCCTCCCTCTGACGACCTGCAGAATGGAGGCGAGAAGGTGGACAAAACGTCTCTCTACTCAGAAGACATTCGTCCTGAAATGAAAGATGACATTCGCGACCCCAACTATGAGGATGAGGAGGGTCCTGTGCCCAAGCTGGAGTATGTCTGGAGAAACATCATTCTGATGGCTCTGCTGCACGTGGGAGCCCTGTATGGGATAACACTAGTTCCCACCTGCAAGTTCTATACCTGGCTGTGGGGTAAGCAGGTTCCCTGACTCTGGCTAGTACCCCTGGATGCTCATACTGTTAAGAGATGGGGTCTTACACACAGCAGTGGCCCCTCTCTGTCAATATATCCCAGCCATCTACCCCCCTAGGAGGCTGACTATACTGGGAATGGAGCCCAGTGCGGTTGGGATGCAGGAGTGTCATTTCTGTTAGTTTCTTAACAGGGGTGTTGGAGAGTGGCTCCTGAGCCCATGTGCAGGGGCTGTGAGAGGAAGAACAGGGCCAGAGAGGCAGCTTCCCCTGAATGAGCTTTACTGTTTGAATCATTAGCTTGGCTCCCTGTCTCAAGCCTGCGTGCCACGAAAGAATCAAGACCCCTCTGTGGGAGACATGGGCTCCTGATACTAAACCAGGGGTTTCATGAGCTATGTGTTGAGCCCAGTCATGGTACAGAGTAAGGGAAAACTGCTTAGGACTGTAGATCATTGAAGAGAAAGTAACACAAAGGGGCTCACCCACAAAAATATGTCAGGCTGGTTTGACATGGAGGGAGATAAAGACAGCTCCTGTATTACCTAATTGCATAGACATGTTGCTCTTTTGCTCCAGGTATGACTCCAGGGTATACCATATGCCAGTCAACCAAATGTTTTTAGAATCTGATTGAAGAAGTGTTGCATGTTCAATTCTCCACCCAGCCTTCTCCAGCCCTTCTCTCCTGGGCCCTGGCATGTCAACCATCCCTATCCATCCCTCCATGACAGGGACAGCCAGGCCAGAGAAAGGAGTCCTATGCAGCTCCAGCCTTCAGGCTGCCTTAGTGAAGGAGATAGTTGCCACTGTTCACTTATCTGTCCTTAGCTAAACACTTTCAGGGATCTGTGGATGTGTGCCAAGAGCGAGCCTGTGTCCTGAATCTGAATCTCTACATATGTGCTTTTTATGTGCCTGCTCAGTGCTTTGTGAAGCAGGGAACAGCATGGAACTAGGTGTGTTATTTCTGCTTTCTCAGAGCTGGTGAGCCATGACTCCCTCTGTAGAAGACAACCAGAGGTTTTCTGGAAAAGTCTCAGGTGTGGGATACTTTCTGGTACCTGTGTTGGAAGGGAGTGATGTAAAAGGGCTAGTTGGCCAGGAATTAACAACTGTTCCCCCTAAATTTCATAGCTCTCAAAGATTATAAGATCTGGTCCCTCAAGTTTTGTCCTGGAAATTCTCCAGGAGCTGCAGGGAAATGCAACTGAAAGATCCTCTTTCTCAGAAACACTGTTTTTCCTGCTAATGATTGAGGACAACTGTACTTTGTCAAAATTAGGTTGGTTAGTTCCATAGGTGAGTTGTCAGTCATCCCAGTCTCACCATTCTTCCTATTTTAAGAGGCTTCTGTCTCATTTTGTGGTTTGTAAGAGCCTTGAAGACTCTTAGAGGAGTTGAAGAAGTATCTGTGGCGACAATGACAGCCAAAGGGCAAAACACTTCCAGTGTGCTTCTTAAGGCAAAGTGATGAGGTGTTGCCTAACCAGTGATGTGGATATTAACAATCCTTCTGTGGAAGAGAAAGAATGGGTGTAACTGGCTGCAGCATCCTATTTGACAGACTCAGATGTTAATAGAATGCCAGAGTGCCTATATTTTTTTCCAAATTATTCTCTACCTGTGGACATGTGTTTCAAGGGGCAACAGGCCACAGTAATTGGTGGTGTGAAACAAACTTGGATTTTTCCTTGGGCCTCAGCTGAGTGTTTTTGCTTTGCCTAAAGCCTGTTCCTTCTTCCTGGCCATTTCAGAGTTCTGGCTCCACTGGCCTTTTTACAGTTAGAGGTGTAGACACTGTATCAGGGAAGAAGGTCTCAGTCACCACATGGCTAAAGGCTACAGATCACCTGAGACCTCAATCCCAGCTCAGAGGGTTTGTGCCAGAACCTTCCATGGACAGATGCTGCCCCTGTGGCTCTTCTGGGGATTCTGTAGGAGAAACGGGACAGAGTGCAAGAGGGAAGAAAAGGAGAAGATACTGTTTAGTAAAGTGTTATCTTTGGCTGTAGAATAACACAAGATAGTTTGTTAAAATATGTGGTGTCTCTAGACATAACTAAGATCTGAGGATCCATAGTTTCCAGCTGCCTGCTAGGGATGACACATTATTAACAGTTCCTAATAAGGCCTCAGTTCTTGCTTCCCAGAGCTGCTGATCAGAAGAAGAAAGGTATATAGGTATATACTCAGCACCCCTTTCTCCACTAAAGATCATATGAGGATGGTGAGACAGACAGGACAATGTTTCAGTGTTCTGCCAGTTTTCACTGTCTCCCAGAATTATTTAGAATTAGCATTGATGGTCAGAGTCTGGGGTGACAGAGATGTTGCAGTGGAGAGACCTGGGACCTGGGCAAAGGTCATGTGAGGTGGATGGCAAAGCTGAAAGAAGAACTTGGTGACTGAAACTAGGCTGCAGGTTTTTTTTTTTGTTTTTTCAGACAGGGTCTCACTGTAGTTCAGATTGGCCTTAACTCATTATGTAGCCCAGGCTGGCCTCAAACTCACAAGGATCCTTCTGCCTCAGCCTCCTGAGTGCTGGGATTACAGGCGTGGCTCAGGGCTGCAGTTTTACTAGCCACGTGAGTTTGGATAAATGCTTAATCTTTCTCAGAATACATTTTCTCAGCTGCAGGGTGTGGTATGACTAGCACATGGTCCAATGAAGTTGTGCAGTGAATATGAGAATATACTTAAATTATTGCTGAAGTTCGAGCCACTGTGTGCAGGGCTTATGTTCTCTAATCTAGCTACAGTCCCTGATGCAATACTGAAACTTTTTTTTTTTTTTGCCAGCTGGAAAATAGCCACAGCTCTGTGCCCCAGGAGTGTCTACAATTTAGGGCTCCTCTAATTGGTCAGTGCCAAAATTGCTGACTGCTATTTTCAGAGCATCTGTGCTCATGGGTCCTAAGGTCTCTAGGAGTAACTCGTGGCACTGAACATTTTAGAGAAGGTCAGCTGAAGGTCAAAGGAGATAGGATATGGGATAAAGCCCTTTTAGGGCCAGGGATTTAGCTCAGTGGTTCTGGTGCCTGCCTCGAAAGCGCAAGGTCCTGAGTTCGATCACTGGTACCCCCCCCCCCCAAAAAAAGATAAAGCCCCTACAGACTAGGGCAGTAAGTGGCACAGTGGTGAGAGCCCTATTCGCTCTCCTGCCTGCCTGACTCCTTGGTTCAAGTGGTAACAGTTATGAGGCCTCAGAAATGAACTCATTGTTAGTATCCAGGGAAAGTAAACCCTCACACAGAGACTAAAGACACAAACTGACATCAGGAGTGTATTCCTTGATTGAACTTGCATGTTTGTGACCCCTCACTGTCTTGTCCTGGCAGCATGCATGTACTATGTAGTGAGTGGACTGGGCATCACAGCAGGAGCTCATCGCCTGTGGAGCCACCGAACTTATAAAGCACGGCTGCCCTTGAAGATCTTCCTGATCATTGCCAACACGATGGCGTTCCAGGTAAGAAGCTGTCACTGCTTGGCTTTCCTGTCTTTACCCTACTGATGATCTAGGGAGAAATGGATGGGACCAGTGTCCAGAGAAGAGCCCTAGCAGTAAGGCTACTGGCCTTTCCATTCTCCTGTGGTCACATAAGTATAGGATAAGTGTTGAGGTCCACCAAGCATGGAGTGATTTAGATTTACTAGGATAGAATATAGGTAAATGGGACAAGGTCTTCTGATATGGAGTCATTTTTTTATCCCAAGGTCCCTATGTTATCACACAGTATGACTATTGTGATTTTTCATCATGAGGGATCATGGTGCTAAGCCAGCCATTGACCCTGGTTTCCTGGGCAGTCAGTGGCACTAAACTCATACTTTATGGTGACCCCCTTAGGCCCTATGGCAACAGGATAGAAGATGATACGTTACGGACTCATGGCCGCTGATGTCAGATAATAAAAGCAAATATTTCCATAGTGTTGACTATGTCCTGGCCACTGTGCTAAACATTTGACCTAGATGAGGAAACTGGGTCATTGAGGTGTTGGGTAGAAAACTTTGTGACACTGTCTGGAGTTGCCATGTTTATTAACTCAGGTACCGAGGTTGGATCAGATAACACGTTTATAAGAGACAGAATGAAGAGAACTGGGAAGGTGACTCTCAGACTCTAGAAAGGGGCACAGGATAGCTTGTGCTGTGGGGCTTAGCTTGAGCAAGAGGAGAATAGGAAACAATTTCCTTGTCTTTACAGTGTCTGAGGTGCTTACGTCCTTTGTATAATCATCTCTGCTCTAGCAAGTTAAACCTTGAGATTCTTGATGGTATCCTTGTGAGTCAAAGGAAAGGAGTAGAGACACAGATACATTTTTGAAGGGATGAAAAGAGTTCCAGAAAAGCCCAGAAGTCTTCTGGAAACATGGTCATGATCATGAGTTTCCTGAGGCCTTGTTACTGGGTTGAGTGACCTGTCATTTGGGGAGGTATCATTATAGAGCTCCCCATAGCTTTAGCCACAAAGCAGTGCCCTAGGACCTGATACGCTTGACTCATGCTCTATGCCCAAAGGTCCCTTCAGGACCTTCTCCTATATTCCTTGCTTGAAGAATTGCAGAAATTATCACAATGCTGGGATTTACCTCCATTCTCCCCAAACATCGCCTTTAGGACACACTAGTACTGTTTCTATGCTCTGTGTTTACAAAGGTCTTTTCCACATAAGTTTTGGGGCAAGTATTTTTTTTTTTTTTTGGTACCAGGGATTGAACTCTGGACCTTCTGCTTTTGAAGCAGGTGGCAGAACCACTGAGCTAAATCCCTGGCCCCTGGGGCAAGTATGTGAAAGAATGTGATTCTTCCATGTCTCCTTTGCACCCAGACTCTTGGGGACTTGGTGAGGCTTGGGCTGAGAGCCCTGAGCCCGTGCAGACATTTGGGCACTGAATTTACCCAGAAGGTCATCTCTCTTCAGGCCTGTGTTCCTTTTCTCTGTCCTCCAGAATGATGTGTATGAATGGGCCCGAGACCATCGTGCCCACCACAAGTTCTCAGAGACACATGCTGACCCTCACAATTCCCGACGCGGCTTTTTCTTCTCTCACGTGGGTTGGCTGCTTGTGCGAAAACACCCAGCAGTCAAAGAGAAGGGCAAGTTGCTTGACATGTCTGATCTAAAAGCTGAGAAACTGGTGATGTTCCAGAGGAGGTGAGTGATGGCAGAATGGAGATAAGGATGTAGTTCTGAACATCTGGAGTTCACAGACCCAGTCTTTTCTCTTACAATTTATAAAATAAAAGCAGAAGGTTTATGAGTTTGCATGTTCAAATCATCATTTAAAATTCCAATTTTATTATTTCACAGATCCATAGTAATAAACTAAAACTCTATGAGTTATTTTAGTGAAATGAATTCATTGCAAACAAATGTTTATTGACGAACAATCAGAGACCCTAAGATGAATGCAGCTAAGTCTTACCTTCAAGAATTATGAAACCTCTTGGGAAGGGGAAGGATAAGCCAAGTGCCCAAATAGTCATGATACAAGGTAGAATATTTTCTGTAGCTGACAGGTATAAGGAGGAGGGAGCTTGCTTGGTGGGGAAATCTAGGGAAGGATTATAAACAATCTACACAGTGATTGATTTTTATAATTTTAGTGAGCCAGGATACTGCAAACAGAAAGAAAAAGGTGAGGTAAAGCCTGAAACAGGTTTCCGAAACATAGCCCTTCTATTGAAGTATAGGGGCTACAGGAAAAAGGACTTCTAGAGTGACTGAAGGTGTCATGGAGAGTCCTGGTCACAGACTACCATATGATTCATTTGGCTAAAGGTAGCCACTGAATGGAGCAATGTGCACAGCCACAGGTGAGCTGCAGGACAGGGAAGAAACTAAGGAACTAGAGATGAGAGGCAGTGTCACTGAAAGAAGTTAGGAAGGGCCCAGGTTGGGGAAGCAGTGGAAACAGGAATGGAAAGGAGTTGGACACAAGGAATGTGAAGAACATAAAAGCAGAAGGGATGACTGCTGAAGGCATGCAGGCCTTGGAATGTCAGTGGCCTGGTCTAAGACCTGCAGGTGATTGAGAACACTCATTGTACCTCCTGAGGGGAAAGCAAAGCAAAGGATTAGGGGCTAGTAGCAGGAAATGCAGGCACAGCACTTAACAGCCCCTCTGCCAATGGCCAAGATAGGCAAGTTAAAGGAGCCGAGGGACAGATACACACAGCAGCCTGGGTGCGGAATTCTGCTGATGAATTTGTGATTTGACCTTTGGCTCTTTAACTGTCCTGACCTTACAGTATCATGAAAAGGAACGTTGGATTTCAAGTCAGGAAACAGATGTCCAAATCCTTGCTGCACTGTTTCCTAGTGGGGAAATCCTTAAGTAATTTAATGTGTCCACATTGTCTCATGTGCAGAGTGAGATAATAACATTATGCTCAAAAGATTTGATGATAGTTTCTGTCCCCTGCATTCATAGTGTAGGAGGAAAAATATAGTCCTGGCCAGTGAGAATGGAAAATAAGGTAAGCGTAAGAGGCCTTTCTCCAAACTCAGTGTGTGCTTTCTCAATGTAGGTATTATATACCCGGTCTTCTGTTGCTGTGCTTCATCCTGCCCACACTGGTCCCCTGGTATTTTTGGGGTGAAACTTTTCAACACAGCTTGTATGTTGCCACCTTCCTGAGATACTCCCTAGTGCTCAATGCCACCTGGCTGGTGAACAGTGCTGCCCACCTCTATGGATATCGCCCATATGACAAGAACATTAACTCTCGGGAGAACATTCTGGTTTCACTAGGAGCTGTGGGTAAGTCAGCTGTTCATAACGAGATCAAATCACATGTCTGCTGATTAGGGTCTTTGGGTAGACGCCATGCAACCAGAACAACCAGTTTTTATGACCAATTTGTAGCTCAGTTTTTCAAGGTATAACTAGGGTGCAGTATATTGGGAAGCCCTTAAGAGAGGTAGGTATCAACTCTTATGTAAAATGGAAAGGGTGAAAAATTTAAGTTGTAAACAACATCTCTTAATGCTTACCTATATTGTGTCCTTTTGAGTTTTCCTTTTTCTAGTTACCTCTGACAGGGCTGTAGTCTACATGAAGCAAGGAATGCATAAATTAAAAAGTAGGGTGATCTGCATAGCTGGTGAGCCTACTGCTTTATATTTAAATGTGCTGTGTAAAATGTAGAAGAATTATAAATTAGTTTTTAAAAGTTGGACATGCCATACTTTTTTTTTCGATATAGTACTGGCAGTTCAACTCAGAATATTCACTCTGAGCTACATCTGCAGCCTTTAAAATTTTCTTTTCTTTTAAAATAAATTTTGAGGTAGGGTCTTGCTAAGTTGTCCAGGGTAGGTGTGAAATTGTGATCTTTCTGACCCAGATTACCAGAGTGCGGGGATTGTAGGCATGCACGATCATGACCAGCATCATGCCATATAATATTCTGCTTACTGATCTGATATTGACTATTCTTAAATTTTATTCTCTCTATAATTTCAGTTCCAATTGCCAGATCAAAGAAATCAGGGTTCTACCATCTGTGTCCACTTTTTCCTCCTTCCAGATGAATATAGACTGACTAAGGCCTCAAGTTAGCTTTCTTATACAGACCCAGGGACCTCTTGTCACCATCAATCAGAAATGTTATTCATCCAGTACCACTTAGCCAATTGTACTGTTCACAGATTTGTTCACATCATTGCTTAATACTCATTAACCTGGGTCATGTTTATTACCATTTTTTAAAGCATTTTTCCTATTTCTTTCATATTCCATATATTTCTCTCCTCCCTTCAGGCGTCTTGTACATCGTGCATGTTCATAATGTGAAATAAATTACCCACATTATACAAATCTGAGATTTTCATAGAATTGGAATAATCTAGATTGAGATATATGTGTCCTGTATTGGAAAAAGAATTGTAGTGAGCTGCCAGCCTCCTACTTTGTCCCTACTGTCATTCACTTCTCCAAATATACTCTTTCTTCCCTCTCACCTCGTCCTTTGCTCTCCTCCAGCTCTGTTTCCTGCCATTCTAATCCCTTTGTTCCTTGAATTATCTACCACAGCTACAAGCTTACTTGTCTCAGATACAGCTGATATTGCTCTAGCCTTCCTTGGGCTGACTCTGTCCCGATTCCTATTTGTGTCCCTCCTCTCCCTGTGTCTTTAAATTTTAACACCCACACATATAGGCCTGGTGAACTGAACACTCCCTCAGAGCCTCACTGTAAAACCCTGCCTGGAAGCTAGCAATTTTCTGTCATCACCTCAGCCTTGGCATTATCCATGCACCAACTTCTACCCCACTCCCTTCTCATTTCTCACCATGGACAACCCAGTGTCTAGAGGGCTTTATACCTTGAGAACCCCTGGTTGGTCATTTCTTTGGCAGGACTTTCTCTCACTTCTCATTCATTTCATTTCTAGCCTATCTGAGAGTTTCTTTGTTCATGTGTCCAATAACCTATCTTACTGCCTATTCTTTACCCTGATCTGATAAGGGTCAGTGACTTCTGTATTGGAATAGATTCAGAACGAAGAGTCTTGCCAAGACTTGGCAAATATTTGCCCATTATGGAAATTAGCTTCATCTAGAATTTCTTTATTTCCTCTCCAGCAAAATGAAAGTCTCCCAGCAGTTCTCAGAATGTCTGAAGTTAAAGGGAATCTCTATACTCAGAGCAGTTCTATTTCATTAGGACCTCTCTGGCCTCAGGGTCAAAGCTTAGAGAATCATAAGCCACAGTAGCTTGCTGTGAACTGGCATTGCCTGTGGAGATTCTGCCCATCTCTGGGCCTCCTTTTCTCTGACTTTTGCCTGCTGCCATCCATTCTCTTGGAACCTCTGACTTAAAAAGGGAGCATCCATACAGTAGGGAAAGGTCTGCTGCTTACATTTCTTTGTAAGGAAGCCATAGTCTTTCTTCCACACTCTGCTCTTCCCACCCCACTCCAACACAGGCAAATACAGAGCCTGTGGAGTCTCAGGCTATTACTTGCTGACACTCTGGCATTTTCCAGCATAAGATTTATTCCCAGCACTACAACTTCTCTCTATTCTTCTTATCCTCTGGAGTTACTTTCTGTCACAAAGGCTTCTAGACAACCTGGTAACAAGGAATCAACTCATTGCTAAAAATGCCTCTTGAGGCATCTACAGTATTTGCTTCAGAGTAGAAGAGTGGGGGTTTATCTACTCACTCAGCAACACCAGGTTTCTATGAGGTTTGAGGTACCCTGCCAGGTAAGAGGTATGCAGAGATGAGGAAGACTGCATCTATACAGTTCTATCATTTCTCTTTTTGTTTTTGTTCCAGGTGAGGGCTTCCACAACTACCACCACTCCTTCCCCTATGACTACTCTGCCAGTGAGTACCGCTGGCACATCAATTTAACCACATTCTTCATTGATTGCATGGCTGCCCTTGGTCTGGCTTATGATCGGAAGAGAGTATCCAAGGCTGCTGTCTTGGCCAAGATTAAAAGAACTGGAGATGGAAGCTACAAGAGTGGTTGAGTTTTGAATCATCCAGGTTCTTCTTCCAAAAGTCAGCTGGGTACTTGTTTAACGTTGTGTTAATTAACTACTGAGTAATGCTTCCTAGGTGGTATAGGTGATGACCTTAACTCATTCCAGCACAGTATTCTTGTAAAATGCACAAGCATTGAAAGGTAATAACTCTACTTTATGCTACTTAGCTGGTAGACTTTTCTTCTCTCTCTTCCGTTCCCAGTTTCCTTTTTGTTGCTTAGTCTCTATTACCTTCCTTTCTTTCTACCCTCACTGCCTCCCATGCAAGCAATTGGTCAGCCATAAATTGGTATCCACCTTCCAAAGCCTGGCAGCCTTTCTAGAGTATAAAAGTAAAGCCCCTTGCTCTAGATAACTCTTTTTCCTTGATCCCTCCTGAGCTTCAAGTTATTCCACGAAGTCTGATGCAAAGTTCCTATTTACTGTCATCAGGCCATCCATTGCAAGATGAAACAGAAAATAACTTTGAGAAAGAATTTGCAAAGTTGGTAAATCATCATGCAAGATTGTTATTATGCAGGATAATAAGTAAAGTTGGGAGTTGAGCTGGGAAACTGAGCATGGGTAATCTCTTACTGTAATCAGTCCAGGTTTCTTGTTCAGAAAGACATGGAGGTCCTCCTCACATCTTTCTTCCTTTCTCTTCTGACTCTGAGTAGAGAATGGCTATTGAGCCTGGTGATCCTAGGATACAATAACATATCTCAGTGTCTTCATATAGGACACTGACAACAAAGGAGAAGAATTTAATAAATAGGAAAAGTAGTTTTTGCTGGGGAAGGATGTTTTCTTTTTAATAAAAAGGTGATTTCTTATTTCAGAGAATAAGAAGTCTTTAGGTGAGCTTTGTCCAGAATTGGTGTGTACAGGAGCTCATGGAGTTTTGAGGACTCTGTGAGTTGCTTATCCAATTCTGTCATCTTTTTTTCTGTGCCATCCACAGGATATTTGTCACTTCACTTATAGTAATAGGATGACTGTGGCATTTTTGTACATCTAACCATGGAAGAATTTTAGGAGGTGAACTTGGAAGTTAAATATACATACATATATAATCTTCATTGGAACATGAAACTATTTATATTGCTTCCTCTGAAAAATAAATGTTAAAGAAACATGAAGGAGAGGAGGAATTCCTCATCTGGGGTAACTATTTCTCCCAATGTTGAGCAGGTGATGGACAAGTTGAGGGGTAGCATCTATAGCCAATCCCAAGGAACTTTCCAAAATAAGGGCTCTGAGAACATATTTCTAGTGGGATTCAGAAGTTACTGAGTAAGCTATTGGGTCTTCTAGTGAAATGAGTTAGACATTAGATCCTTTCAATACAATTTCTCCTTGGATTGAGTAGAAACTAGACTCCTCCCTACTTTTCCCTCATTTTTTGCTTTGTCACATCCAGCCTACATGCAGGACTGCCTGAGGGATGGGGTAGGAATCTTTAACCAACCTGATTCTTGATTCCTGGCTCTATCCCATCTCTCCTTGTTCTCATTATTCCCTGATATTTTCTTTTTGCTCTGGGTAGGCAGCTTCCTGTTTGTATCCAAGGCAGCGAGGACTTGATATCCAGGCAGCTCCCTTGCCTACAGTCAAAATGCTAATTGTCTCCAAACTGCCAAGTCCCGTTAGCAATGTCCTGACTATCCTTTTGTGTAGTCTCCAGATCTTCTATACCTCCACACCTGGGGTTACTGGCACACTGATATCTTGAGAAATTTGGCAAATCTTCTAGAGAAATCCTGAGCTCAAAGAGACTGTCTTTCATGAGTTATGGCTAAGCCAAATGCACATTGTGCCAATGAACCAGCCACAGAAAAAAGGCAAGGTTTATTGTTAGTTTCTCTGTCTGGGTCAGAGCAGAGAGCATGTTCAGTGTCCCTTTTGTGTTTAGAAAAGCTATTCGGCCAAATCAGTGCTTCCAGATGACAGTGCAATGAGGAGGATGAAGGAGAAAACCTAGTCCCTTAGGAAGCACAAGAAGCAGAGGCAAATTCCCAAGTGCCTCACATTAAAAAGAGGCCATAATCCCAAGATAAATGTGGCATGTCATGCCACATAATCCATGATAGTAAGATAAAAGGAAGCTGGAAAAATACAGAACATTAGTGATTAGTGTCTTGAAGATCATAGGCCTCTCTTGTCCCTTTAACTCAGGCATCAATGCAAAAGCCTGTCTCTGCTCTATCAGGATTGGCAGTGTTTGATACCAAATCCATGTCTACTATTGAGCCCCATTGGTCAGGGAGCAGGGCCTTTCTTCCTGTGTTAATTGAATAGAGGTTCTAGGGACAAGCCTGCATGAGGGCAGCCTTGTCTTTGAGCTGTTCAGTAAAGAATCTCTGGGAAGATCACTGAAGATAAGATCTGCTATCCTGAGTGCCTACCCCTTGGAAATGCCTTTTAGGTAGTTTTAATTCTATAGGTCATCAGATGCCAGCTTTATAATCCATGAAAAATAAACTCAATTTTCTCTTACTGAATCCTATTCCATAGATCTGATTCACGCCATTTCCTATAAAAAGCTGGGCACAGACCTTAAGCTGCAGGCCCCAGGGAATATGTTGGTCTGAACATAAAGGCTTGTCAGATCAATAAGAAACACTATATTCAAGATTCTAAAGCTTAATTCAAGCAACACATTAATAAGAAACTCAGATCTGATCAAGAGTGAATTTCTAGCAGTCCTTACCTTGTGGACTGCTGACAACTTATTTGAGTGCCTTACCTCTTTTCTATTCCATGTTGAATATGAGTCTTCCTTCACTGCCTCTGTGGAGTCCCTTAATACCTTTGAGCCTCCAGCATGGCAGATATAAAAAGTGGCCTAGCTTGAGTATTACAAGTACTTCAATCTGCAGGATTCAATTATGGGCTTAATTTTGGAAACTTGTCTTAGGGCTGTTTTTATTAAGTGCTCAGATTTGATGGAGGGTGGAAGTAGTTTGAACATATTTGATTTGTAGTATTTTTAGATTAAACAATGATTGTAACATTTAAAACGGAAGTTTTCCTCCAAGGTTAGCTATTATCCTGCATATTTTCTTTGTACAGATAGCAATAGTGAGTCCTACATTAACGATGGTAGAGCCCTCTTGACCTAATCACTTCTTAATAGTCCGAACTCTCCATAATACTGCATTGGAGACATAGTTTTTAACTCTTGAATTTTATGGGATACATTCAGACCACAGCATTGGACACATGACTTTGTTATAATGTGTCTCACTATTCCTTCTATTATGAGGTAGCAATGTTGACCAACCTCTTAGTTCAGGTTTCAGGTGTGACTAATGCTTTTAATAAAGTTTTAAAATCCTCACCAGGGAAATTCTCAAGTACTATGTATTTTTATTATAGCAATGTCTACCATGTACTTAACATGTACCTAAGTGCCGAATGGCATCATTATTCCAAACCATTCTCTTGAGAGATTAATGCATTTGAGTGTTGGATAATTAGCCAGACAAAATTTGAGAATTCGTATTGTTGCTATAAAAACATGCAGGATACCTTTTCCTTCCTTGGGTGGCATTTTTCCTTTTTTATGACATATTAGTTATTTGTAACCTAAGAATAATTTTGTAATTTCTGTTAATCAACTGAAGCTATTTCTACTGACTTGAGATGTGCTTGTTCATAATAAAAATGAATTGAATCTGATTTTACTGTGTTTCGGAGCTTTTTGGTTGTGCTATTATAGTCTTGGGAACTGTCTCTGTGGCTCTCCACCATATCCATGTCATGCACCTTTAAAAGTAAAACATATAAAAGATACAGGATTGACTCATACCCCAGTAAATGGTCCTGTGCCTTTGAAAGATAATTGGAGGTTAAGATCTGGGAAGCAGGAAACTTGCTGCCTTTAAATCACACACGTTACCACAATTTGGCACCTTGGCCTCCAGAAAAGCGAGGTCTCTCCATGTGTCCTGTAGTCACAGGGACCCAGCTTAGAGATCCTGGGAGAGACCAGGAAACCCAGTAAACCACCCCTCCACAGCGCCCTCATTCCCTGGGGTAAAGAGAGGGACAGATGCTGCACCTCTAGTACAGTAGCAAGACTAGTCTCAGGGCAAAATCTCCAGTCTTGCCTTATCCACGAAGAGGACAGTGTGAGCAGGGGCAGGGAGGACAGGCTGCCACCTCCCCGGCACCACTAAAGCACAGCCACCATTGCCATTCAGGTGCTCTCATAAACTACCGTCCTAGAGACCTTCGCCACTCCCGTCCGTCCTCTCCCTGAGCCCCCATTAAACTCCTAAAGAGCAAAGCTGCCCGGCAGCAAGAAGCCTCTCTGCAAGGCGCGGGCAGCCCTGCTCTCTGCGGCGGGGAGGCACCCGAGGCAGCAGCTAAGGCGATCGCCTGCAGACCTTTAGTCCTGCCTCACCCTTGTTCTGCCAGGGCCCCTGGCGGGGCGTGGCTGGCGAGCGCCCGCGCACCGGACGTGGCTAGGCGTCCTCTGCCCTCCCCCAGGGTTACTGAGGGGCCCCGACCGGTCGGGGTTACTCTCGTTCATTCACCCGACAGCGCCTGACTCCACGCAGCCAATCAGCAGCGAGTGGAGGCCCCGCCCCTGCAGCGCTCGGGGCGTTAGGGGGGTGGGGGGCGCAGCTTTTTCCTGTGGTGAGCTGGGCTGGGACTCGGGTCTCCAGTCTTTGCGCACCTGGCAGTGGAGCGCCAGAGTGCAGACGGGCCCCAGCCCTGAGCTCAGAATCGCGTACACCAGGGAGCTTGCGTTGACGGCGGGGGTGGGGGGCGGGGTGTTCTCAGTAGAGGCCTCCTCCTCTGCGGGAGGAAACGCAGGAGCTTTGGACTCGCGCACTGCTAGCTGTCACCCTCGGGAAACCGCGGAGTGTGCTCCGGGTTCCCGAGGTCAGCGAGGTGGGGTGGTTAAGCAGACAGGCCGGAGGCGGGGCACACTTTTATTCTTGCAGCTGTGTAGTGCATACTCCTGTCAGGTAGCCAGCAGAGCACCAGGAGTCAGCCAAACAGGCTGAGATTGGGTCATGGTAGCGGAAAAGCACGTACAAGGGCCGTGTTCAGCAGTTCCAGGCTGATGTCACCGGGCATGCAGGGGTGTCCAATGGAAGTGGAGGGAGAAGTGGAGTGAGGCTGTGAGTGCTGGCAGGGAGCGTGCAGATTGCTTCTTACATGATGAGGAGTCATCAGATGTGTTGAAGTAAGAGAGAAAAATCTCTCGTTCCAGAAAGTTACGCTGGTGGCCAGAGCCGAATAGAAAGAAATAGACTAGGGCTGGAAGGTAAGATTGAGGCATTAGTCCCACACACTGAGGTGTGGCACCCTGGGACCTCCAGATCTGAGCTGGTGGTAGTGGGAATGAAAAGGAAAGCCAAAGTCGAGGCATTTTGAAGCAAAATCAGTCACATTCAATGGATTGGATCTGGGAAATGAGGGTGGAGAGTATTCCAAGATGACTAAGAGAAGCAGTTCCACAAACTAAATTATGTAGCTTAAAAAAGCAGGTTTGGAAAAGGGTTAATAGTTGTTTAAAAAAAGAAATTGTACAAATGGTTTGTCAAATCCATTTTTGCATGAAACACAGGAGAGAAACATTGCCAGTCAACGGTCACCACGCAAAAAGTCTAAAAACACAAATTTTTTTGTCCAAAGTAATTATCTTTCCCTTGTAGCTTTAAAAAAATTCCACATCTCCCCACTGCTACCTTTGGTCTCACAGTACAATGACAAGGAGGGAGAGGATTGGTTAAAACAGCCCTGTCAGCTGTTTGCTCTTCTTTTTGTCCCACTCAGTAATTTGCAGCTTTAGAGCACTATGGAGATAAGAGACATAAGAGCACTCCATGCTTTGGGAGTTTTGATAACCAAACCCAACACTTCCTCACCATAGATCTCAAGCTGCAAAAGACATTGAGTGATATACAGTACTTTACTGCGAGATCCTTAGAAGTGCTACCTGCCAGCCTCATCACCTCTGCAGTGAGCTATTCCAGAAATGGGTAGTATACACACAGCAGCAGTAGCACTCACCTGCCTATTGTGGTTGGAATCTTCAGATCTGTAGGTATGCAGGCCAAAGCAAATTGAAGCCTGGTCCTCTGTAAGTGCCATATTTCCTTACCTTTGCCTCCCTCCCTGGTATGGGCTAGCATTGCATCTGCTTGGCTGCATGACCCTTGTTGCCACCTCACACCACCACTGCTGCTCTCGCTGCACTAAAGGTCACTGCATCAGCCCTGCATTACTCTAGCCTGCCTCAGAATGCCACTGTAAGAGTCTGATTTTTGTTTTGTTTTGTTTTTTTGGTTTTTGCCCTTGTGATACTGGGCATTGAACTCAATGACTTCATACTGAACTCTATCCCCAGCCCTTTTTTTTTTTATTTTGACACAGGGTCTCACTCAATTGATTAGACTGAGCTTGAACTTGCAAGCCTCCTGACACAGCCGTCCAGAGTGCTGGAAGTAGGAGTGTGCACTACCAACCTTGCCTGTATGTTCAGATTTTTTATTAGTATATATTTGCAATATGAAATAGTTACATTCACTATGGGTAGTTGGTACGTGTCCATGACACATCTTAATTCTTTTTAAATCTCCTTCCTGTCCCACCCCCTCAATCTATGGGTCCTCTTCCTATTTGCAAAAGATCTATCTCCCTGTTTCCTTTTATCTATCTTTTATTTTGCTTTTTATTTATATTTTGAGCTTGTCATATAAGAGAAACCATACAATATTTAAGCTCGTATATCTAATTTGTTTCACTTAATATTATGGTTTTAAGGTGCATCTATTTTTCTACACAAGACACAAATTTATCCTTCCTTATAGGAGAGTAGTATTACATTGCATATTAAATGCCTTATTTTCTTTATCCATTGATCTGTTAATAGATATATAAAGTGCTTGTAAGATTTAGCTATTATGAATTGTGCTGCTATAAATATGAGTATACATATATCACTATAATATAATGTCTTTAGCACTTTTGGGAAGATACCTAGAAGAGCAATAGCTGGGTCAAATAGGATTTATAATATTTTTAGTTTTTTGAGTAATCTCCATATTGATTTCCATAGTGGCTGCACTAGTATACCTTCCCTTCAACAATGTAGAACAGTGCCTTTTTTCCCCACAGATTCACTAACATTCATTATTATTTGATTTCTTGATAATGGCCATTCTTTGTGGAGTAAAATGGAATTTCAGTGTAGTTTTAATTTACATTTTTCTAATGGCCAGAGATATTGTACATTTTTTATGTATTTATTGGCCATTTGTGCTTCTACTTCTGATAAATGTCTATTTATTTTAGTTGCCCAGTTTTTGATTGGCTCTTTTGTTTTTTATTTTTTATTTAGTTCTTTATACAGTCTAGATATTAATCCTCTGAGGTGGAACTGGCAAATGTTTTTCTGATTTTATAGGTTGTCTCTTCTGTTGGTTGTTTCCTTTGCTGTGCAGAAGTTTAAAAATTTGATGTAATCCCATTTGTTGGTTCTTGATGTTATCTCTTGTGCATTGGGCTTCTGTTCAGAAAATCCTTGCCTATGCCTATGTCTTCAGAGTTTTACCTATTTTGTCTTCTAAGAACTTAAGTGTTTCTGTTTTAATATTTAGGTCTTTGATCCATTTTGATTTTAGTTTAGTATATAGTAAGAGATATGAATCTAGCTTCAGTCTTCTGCATGTGTATAGCCAGTTTTTGTAGCACTGTTTACCAAAGAGGCTATCTTTCCTCCAGCATATGGTTTGGCCCCTTTGTCAGAGATCAGGTGTCTGCTGTGTCTGAGGTTGTTTCTGTATCCTTCATTCTGTTCCATTGATTCACAAGTTTGTTTTTATACCAGAGCCATGCTATTTTATAACCATAGCTTTGTAGTAGCATTTGAAATCCAGAATTGTGATGCCTCCTGATTTGCTCTCTAGGATTGCTTTTTTTTTCTTAATATGCAGTACCAAGTTTCTTATATTATATTTGTTTGTTTTTTGGGTACTGGGGATTGAACTCAGGGCCTTGTGCTTGCAAGGCAAGTGTGGCACCACTGAGCTAAATCCCTGGCCCGACCCAGGATTGTTTTTGTTGTTCTGGGTCTCTTCTGGCTTTATAGCAGTATTAGGATTGTTTCCTCTAGTTTTGTGAGGAACACTTTTGGTATTTTGATTGAGATTACATTAAGTTTATATATTAGTTTTAGAAGTATGGACATTTTGGCAATGTTGGTTCTGCCTATCCATGTACAGGTGCTATCTTTCCATTTTCTGATGTCCTTTTCCATTTCCTCTATCAGAGTACTATAGTTTTTGTTGTAGAGGTCTTTCACTTGCTTGGTTAGGTTAATTCCTAAGTGCTCAATTTTTCTTGATGCTATCATGAATTATTATGCTATTATGAATTATTTTCCTAATTTCTTTTTTGTTGAGTTCATTATTGATATACAGGAACATTCTTGAATTTTGTGAGATGATTTTTGTATTGTGCTACACTGCTAAGTTTGCTTATTAATTCTAGAAATGTTTTGGTAGAAATATTTGGGTTTGCCATTTAAAGGATCATGTCATCTGCAAATAATGACAATTGACTTCTTTCTTTCATATATATATATGAAAGAAAGATATATCTATATATCTATATATCTATATCTGTTTTATTTCTTTCTCTTCCTGATTGCTCTACCTAAT